TGAGTCCCCAACCAAGGACGGACGTCGTCACGATGCCGTAAGACGGTAGGCCGTATCGTGAACAGCAGCCCCTCCAGCTACACCCCGTTCTCGTGGTTGCACTACAAAAACTATTCAGTTGTTGTTGTTGTTGGATTCCCACATTGTCCGATGATGAGAGTCTGTACGAAACCAAAAGCCCAGGCTACTACACGTACTGCCTCAGTGATCGTCTGTTAATCTTTGCAGTACTGACGTGCAACCCTCAATAATTAAATTTAGTAAAATAGTAAAAAAAAACAGGAATAAAACTATGTCCAGCAAATAAGTGCATGATTTAAGTAGATATTTTAACCTGTTTAATTTTATAACAATTTATGAAGTGGCTACCTAAAACCTGTCTTGACCATGTTTGCTCAGGTTGAAATAATATGAATTAGGCAATTTTGTGTAAAATGCCATTAACAATAAGGGAATGCAAACTTACTCAAAAACCATATCAAATCCGGTATCAGAGGTTCATAAATTTCAACACTGCCAGAATCGTTCCAGGGCATCCACTGCTGAGATGGATCAAACTTCGGTGTAGCACCGTCTTGGGTGTTGGGGACTAGAGGACTGGTCGAGATCCAACGTCGTGACTTCTCAGAAACTTCTTCATCCGCAAATCCAGGGGGTACGGATCCAATTGCAAACTGAAAGTTTAATTGTTCATTTTTAATCTCCACAGGATTCAGTTTAGATAGGTCGAAGATCTTGGGGCCCGACTCCTGTTGAATCGACGCGTTGGTGGTCGTTCCACCAGCTGCAGTTGCTGCTGCTCCAGTGTTTTGGAAAGAATTGTTCCCCAGACTCGATTCAGCACAAGAGAGGAGCTGTTTACGGAATTCCTCACACAATTCCAAAGGAATAACCGCCCGACTATCCTTCCTAAATCGGTCTTTCATTACTATCGAAAGCATCGAGCATGCTTAATGTTCTTACCAAAAACTCGGCCAGTTTGCAGCCCGTTCGGCAGTAGGTACTCTTCAATTTCCAAAAGGTACGAAACCCTCTCCATGTCAGAAATAATTTTGAGGGGTGCCTGTCGTATCAAAAAACGTGACCTTTTCTGCGGCGGTAGCTGGCGGCTCATGTCACTAAAGGGTAAAGAGCGCGGTCCCGTTGCATAGGGTATGTAAGCCATGTTTGATTTGCAACTATTCAGACTAAGATTTTCTCAAGAAGATCAGAGCAGGTGGTGCTCTCGGTGGTTACACTCTGGTGTAAGATGTCGTTGTACCAGGAGATGGTCCGCAGAACAAGTGATCTACCGGTGTACCCAATTAAATTAGGCGTTATTGGTGCGCAGGTCGGTATGACGTGGTGCACGCCGTGCACGAGAAGCTCACCAACTGTCAAATCGCTCTGACGCTGCCGTCGTCGCCATCACAAGTACCGCCGCCACCACCACCAACAGCAACGTAGCA